CTCTTGGCACTTGGTTCAGACTGGCCTGTACGTTTTTGATAATCTCCACGCACAAAAGTTTTTACAATATAACAAATTCAAGCTTTACTTTCATATTTTTGCCTCCAGGTTGCTGACATCAACCCATTGAACAGTATCAGAACTGCGGTTAAACGAATACCTCCCAAGTGGAATCACGCTTGGATTCCATCTGAATGCATCTCCTTTACCGATGCGCTGATTGCGTATTAAGCCTCTTCTCTAACAATTCAAAGTCTTTTTTTTTTTCTCTACTTAATTAAAAATGCATTTCCTCAAGCATTCTTCATATACGTTACGTCGCAGGTTCACGATATCAGCTGCACGAGCAGCGTTTCTTGATCATCACGTAGGGTCTTTATCTCCTGGGAAGCTTGCGGATTTTGCTGTATTGTCAACATGTTCATGGGATGAGTTCTCGAACGACGCTTCTGCTTCAGTGTTTGCAACATATGTAGGAGGAAAACAATTGTATCCATGAATGATGAAATCTCTTATCTTATTATATAAAGAAACTAACATTGTATATTATTATTTCTCAACTTTTTTCTAGGCGTCTTAGACATGTCTATTGATACGACATTTGGCTTATTTGTTGCATAATCGTAATACAAATCCATTCTCAGTTTGTATATTCAAAACAATCTTCATTAGAAATGTAAATTGATGTTGTTGGTGTCGGGCTAACGAAATTTGCTAAAAGGTATTGTTGGTGATTAGTGTCACGTACATGCTAACAATAGTTAAACATTGACCCATAAACAATAGTTAAATATTTTCTCATGCTAACAAGGAGTTGGAGATCTAATTTTTTGAAAGTTCGATTGTATTTTTTAGTATGTCCATTATTAAGCTTTAATTTTAGGAATTAAAGAATATGAGGTTAAAATTACTAGCAATAAGCTAGATTAATTTGAGGTAGTCAGTAAAATAGTATACGGCGCGTCGTCGGTATAAGTGTTGTAAAATAGATTGTAAAAGGCAAAAATGTGGTAAATTTATTCTTAAAATATTTAACTTGAAAAAATGATTTTAGTAAATTAAAACATTAATCAAGGAAAGAAAATAAAAAATTGGTTTTTTTTTGTTTAGTAAATAGTTTTACCTTGAGGAGCATCAGTCTTGCAAAATGAAAATCTTTGTGGTAATTGAGTGATCCTAACATCAATCCTGTCACGATCAAACGCGTGCACACTGCCATAAGAAGCACAATTGCCAAATCAAATAACTTTCGTGAGAAAATATTTTTGATCAAATTTTTTAAGAATAAAAATGACATTAGCAAGAAAAAAAAACATGATAATTAATGGCAAATTCATAATTGATAATTCATAATTGATTCATTTTTAATACAAGGAATCTTTAAGTGTTCACACATATAAGGTGGTTATTAATCTTGCTTTCCTTGTATCAATTATACGTTAATTATTTTTTTTTTCTTTTTCATTTCTTTACCAACTTCTTCTTATTTTTTAATCATCTTCATCCAGTTTTGCTAGTTATTTATATATGTTAAACATTACATTTTGTTTATTATTATTATAACAACATACATTATTACCGTTTGAAAAGTGACAAAAAAAATATATTACAATACTAACATGATTTACTAGATTACATATTATGAACAACATAAATTATATAATTTTCTTTTGTTATTGAATATTCCTGTTATTGTTCTTTGATATATCTTGTTATATATATATATATTTTTTTGTAGCACTGTGATTTTGTATTAAAATTTAATTAAATATATTATTTTTATTTATATATATATTGATCTATATAAACTAATTAATGTACTTTCTACAATTATTATTATTGTAGACACTTTTGTTTTTAGATTATATATATCTTCTCAGTAGTTGGTGTTATTTTGGTGGGCTCTTCATTGGGCCTCATCTTTTTTTGAAATCTCTTAAATTAAAGAGGCTTGTATGTTGAACAATTTGTTCGGTTGTTTAATGTAATATTTCATTTGGGAAAAAAGACACTTTTGTATTCTTTATTTATTCTTATCAAATTTATCACGTTGGATCCCACGTGGTTTGCTAAAATTTTGATTTTTTTTTTGACAAATCTTTTTTTTTTTTTTTCCTTTGACAAATATTGATTTTACCCTTTATTACACTACAATTTATGTACACCGCCTCCAAAATGTAGCCAAGTTAACTCATCTATATGTTCTCAATGGTTTGCATTCACAATGCTCATAGGGGCGAGCTGTATGCTTTTGTAACAAATGATGTCTTAAATTTTCTAGGCCTCGGAAAAATGTATATTGATATGAAATTTGGCTTCATATATTCAAAAATACCTTTCAAAAACATTAGGAAAAAAATAAAATTCTTGTTGGTGTCGGTTAAATTTTTTTTACAAAAATGTATTGTTGGTGTGAGGTGTCCATGCACCGGAGCCATAGACTCGGGAACAAAAGCCATTGAGATGTGGTGTAGTTGTACTATTTACGTGGCTCTTTGGTTCCATGTGTCAACTCAGTTTGGTTTCAACACGTCGCACTTAACTAATTATACTGAGAAGAATAAGTCTCACATCTTACTTTTTAATGTGTGATATCATCTGATTGGTCACCCTTGGCGTCCTTAAGTAGTTGAAATCATCATGTTTTCTCCACATAAATATTTGGTGATAACTTCTATTTTTTCACGCTAGAACATACGTGTTGGATCTCATAAAATCTCATCACAAGTATAAGGAAAAAACAAACAAAACATTAAAGTTGAAAACAATCATCTTAAACTTGAAAGAAAGATAAGGTATTGTCTAGATATGAGTAGCTACTAAACATATCATTCTCCTTTGTCTGAATACACAATGCACATGACATGATGATGATGCAATATACACTTAATCAAGAATTATCTTATTCATGTTGCATAAGGTTCCCGTGAATTTTATCTTCTTGTAGATGAGTAGATCCCGTCAAACTAGAACATATATTCATAAAGGTAATTAAAAGTCAAGAACATGGAGTTACAATCCCTAAATTAGTTGAACTCTTCTCTTGAGATGTATATTATTTGCTTTGGTTTCTAAAATATTGATGTTTGGGAAATTTTTACACAAATTAAGAAACAATAATTATTCTTTTAAATTTTTTTTGAAGTTTACAAAATACGTACTAATATTAGTTAACTAAAATTTGTAGAACATCAATTTTTGTGAAGAAAAAAAAAAATCAAAACATCAATCTTTATGATATAGAAAGAGTATGTAATATACTAGTACGTATAATGCTTGTACTAACATGTTGAGGTAACCAATAAAACAATACCAACATATAAAAACATGACAATACGCCATAAAATGAATGTGTGACATCAACTTATCTGCCTTTCATCCCAACTTATGTATATGGATGTGTGCACGTGTACAGAATGGGATTGTTCAAGTGTCGACTATACCAAATTATCTTCTATCAATTAGTATATGGTGTCTACGACAGGTGGCTAATTGTTCCACATACGATGATCTCTCCAATTATGATATCATATAGCTCAATTGAATGTGTTCCCATTCGTTTCAATCACCACAACTTTTGTCGATGACTTATGTTCAGTGTTCACAGATCACACAACAGCTAAGCAATGATTCAAAGTCAAGGATTAAGGAAAATTGTATACCCAAAAAATCTTTTAATATAAATACTGTCAATAGTTGTCTTACTGTAATATTTTTAGATGCCTTAATACCATCAATATGATTAGTAGTAAGAAAAATAACTCAATATTTTTTACGTTTTACCTTTACGTTTCTTTAAAATCCAACCAATTATTATTTCAAACCACTCCTCTTATTTAAGTAATCATAGTCAAGATCTAACTTCTACGTTCTAAGGTGTTCACTATTATCACTCCAAACTACGATAGAAGTATGAAGTATATATGACACCGACCATACTCCCATTTTGTACCAAATCTATCATATTAGTCTATTTTAATTGTTCAATCGCGATAATATGATAGATTTGGTATTAAAAAAAAAAGGAAATATAATTTTAAATGAGTTGGGGATAGACCAAGTTCTAGGCTTGTAAATCTATAAAAGTAATTATTAATTAGGGCTGGATGTTTATTATTGAAAAAGTAGAACGCGATTAAAGTTTAGTTGGATAGAATTTAGAATATTTCTATATTAACTTAGGTATAGCTGCATATAACTTTCAAAGATCTGTTTCTTTTTCAAGTTGTGAGATGCGATAAGAACAAATAACTTTCAAAGATTGAAAGAATTAATGTTTAAAAACCAAATCAATAATAGTTGTAGTATTTTTCCTTGTTAGTAAAAAATAAAGACGTAACCGACAAGAAAAAAAAAACATAAAAGTAAGAAGATCGATTTTTATAATTGAAACGTAACATTCGGATTGTTGAAGTTTTTACACAAACGGGATTAGGATACGATAAAAGGAAGACCAAATTAGTCAAAGCCTAAATAAGTCTATAGGACCCGTTCAACCCCAAAGTCCTAAAACGCCATCCCATACGGATTCCGACCAAACTTCATATGATATATATGTTCCCTCTAATATAATTTATATCCTTATTAGCATTCACAACATCATCCAATTTGACTAATTAGGGAAGAAAATGTATCGAATAAGGAGAAAAGAAAATTTTAAATCAAGAAAGATTTTGGATGATAATTCCCTACTAATAAAAGAAAACGTATCGTATATACAACTCAATTGTATTATTCGAAATGAGTTTCCATTATTCCAAAATGTAATAGAAAGACAAATATAAAACCGACAAAAAAAATAAAAAGACAGGAAACAGCCGTTGTTGTACGTTGACTTTCAAACAATGATCTCTTTTGTTAATGTGTGTGTCTTTTCTTATTTTTTCCTATCCGTTTCCTTCACATCGTCTTCTCTGTTCTCTCTCTCTATCTATATATATATATATATATATATATAACAAAACATTTTATCTATCTTTCATTCATCAGAACTTATTAAAAAAGAAATGGCTGATTTGGATTTACAGACGAGGAAGCTCCACCTCACCATTCCTCATGAGCCTTGTAAGCTCTCCTCCTTCGTCCCCTCTCCAATCTCCTCCTCTTCCTCCGCCGCTTGCTCTGCCTACGAGCTTTACCTCCGTTTGCCTGAACTCAGATGCCTCTGGTCCTCTCTCTATTTCCCTCGCTGGATCTCCGAGCCGGTTCTCAAACCATCTCTTCAAGCTCTTGAGATCACTTTCCGTTTGATCCTCACCGTTTCTTCTGACACTCGTCCTTACATCAACCGCCGCGAATGGATCCGACGCTTGGATTCCCTTTCCACGAGCCAGATCAAAATCGTTGCTGCTATCTGCGAGAACGACGACGGCGACGAGACCTTGTCCGCTGCTCCGGTCAGCAATGGCTGGAGCTCGTTGAGTTTGCTCTCCGAGATCGCCACGTCTCGTACATCGGAGAGCCTAGGCCAGAAGATCTTGGTTACGATCGAGAATGAGATGCGTTGGTGTAAGTATACGCTCGGTTTAGGAGAACCAAACCTCGCAGGAAAACCGTATCTTCAATACGACGCCATTTGCCGCCCGGAGGAGCTACACAGCCTCAAGAACAATCCTTACTCCGACCACATCGAGAACCAAGAGAATCAAATGCTCTACACTATCCATCAGATTCTTGAATCGTGGGTTTACGTTTCTGTGAATCTCTTGAACCGAATCGAGTCGAGGATCGAAGAGGGGAAGTTCGAAAAAGCTTCTTCCGACATGTACTTGCTGGAGAGAATCTGGAAGCTTTTAACTGAGATCGAAGATTTACACATTCTGATGGATCCTGAAGATTTCTTGAAGGTGAAGAAACAGTTACATGTCAAATCCACTTCTCAAAACGACGCGTTTTGTTTCTGGTCAAAGGGGTTAGTGAGGATGGCTAAGATGTCCAAAGAGCTGAGACACAAAGTGCCAGCTGTACTTGAAGTAGAGGTGGATCCTACCGGAGGTCCAAGGTTGCAAGAGGCGGCAATGAAGCTTTACTCGAGGAAGACAGAGTACGAGAAGATACATTTGCTTCAGGGAATGCAGGCGGTGGAATCTGCGGCCAAGAGATTCTTTTTCGGGTACCAGAAGTTGGTGGCGACGATGATGGGGAGTGCAGAGGCTAATGCTAATAGGACAGCGGCCAATCACGAGCCCTGTGACTCGCTGACTCAAGTGTTTATGGAGCCACCATATTACCCGAGCCTAGACGCCGCAAAGACTTTTCTTGGAGAGTTCTGGAGCCAATTGGGATGCCATAGAAGAAACTGACACAACGACTTAAGCATTACTATCTACAGATGTAACAATACGGAAATTTTTGTAAGCATGTAACGATCAGTGAATGAATACATAACTCATTTTTTTTTAGCACAAAACAATAGTTTCACAACATAAGATGTTACAAGTTACAATGTTACAAAAGGTACAATGAAGGTACACCATACACTGACTAGGCTACTACTATATCTCTTTGTAAGCTTCTACGAGAAACCCCATACGCCACCAATTATAAAATCTCGCTCTCTATCTTCTCAGTTCTCTCTTGCCGTAAAAGTAAGATCAGTTCTCTGTTTTAACCCTTACTTGGTGTCAACCCCGTCAATAGCTAGAACGTGAAGACTGAAGAGTAGTAGTAACCAGTGGAAGAGAAAGCAGAAATGTACCACCATGCAAAAGAAGCAAATCACCAGAACCATAAATTGCGGCTATCCACAGCTTTCATGGAAGAGTATACAAGAGGCATTTTCCCGAATTCTGCAACAAACCGATTTACACAGTGTGTTCTTTTCTCTGTGTGCCCTCCTATGCTACTAATTCCAGTTGAACCGATTTCATATATTTTACCTACAGAAACAGGCCACATGATGAGGATATGCTCTTCCTCATTTAAGGTTATTAGACTCATATGGCAATACATGGTTCTCACTTCTCACAGTGGCCTGCGATTTAGAATTACCTTTCACCCATATAGCAGGAGCATTAGTAGCATTTGCGACCAGGAATGACATTGCAATATCTTCACAGTTCCTGTTATTAGATAAAGCTCAAACTTAGATGGAGTACATTTTAATCACATTCCCGAATACAAGAATACACAGAGATAATGAAAGTGATAAGGAACCTGTTCTTGGTTGTGAATTCCCTGATTGATGCAGGCATGTTATTTGTGTAAAGGCTGAGGTATTTTTTGTGGAAGAAGGCTGCCTTTGAGAGTACCATACTGTATGTACCACTCCACCAAACAGACCACCACCCGCTATAAGTGTAGTAATTGGCTTTATCATTCTGCAGAAAATTGAAGTCAACTTTCTGATTCCACATAGCAGCTAAGTTTCTAAATAATAAAAGAAGATGATAAAACCAACGCACCAATTTAAACACCATGTACAGAGTTCTTTCAATTTCGTACGATCTATTAGATCATAGGGATGGAGGAAGAGAGATGATTAACTACTAAATTAATGCAGAGATCTATGATTTTCAGATCAGTTAAAGAGTCGCTAATAGCAAACAACTTGAAGAGAAGCATTTTTACTATTTTGGTACTGTTGTATGATAAAAAAGCTTCTTGAAGATACTCAAGAATAAAAAAGTGACATACCGATTTTTCAGGCCAATGCACACGGGGCACAAACCCCACCATTGTATCTGGAGCACTCTCCCAAACGTTGAATGCGAAATCTATGGTATGACAAGGAAATATGATATCATCGTCTATTGAGAAGACAGCGTCTGTTTTCAAGTCTTTAATCTCTTTAAACCTGTTGTTCAAACTGTCTTCTTTGTTAATATCAAATCTTAGCTCAACCTCATGCCCATCTCGCGATTTTTTCTTCAGAACATTTTGAAGATACTCCTTAAGAGAATCTGATGGAGGGTTAGGTTCACTCCATACAATGTGGATAGAGTCAAGCCTAGAACATGATGCATAGTGTGAAACGGACTTCTTTAAGAGATCATATCTCTTCCATGTGTTCATCAAAAGTGTATAACCTTTCCTGCAGATTTGATAAGAATATCAATCAAATAAGACAACAAAGACCAAAACTTTAATGTCTATCTAAAAACAAAAGGTTAAGTACTCTAGATCAGAAAATTCTACTCCATAAGTCCTAACCTGTACACATACCTACAAATGCATCTTTGATTATGCAAAAATAGCAAGTACCCTGTCACCAGCTTAACATAGCAAGATACAACTTTCAGACTCAGGATTACATATTCACATAAATCATAACACCAGTCACTAACTTAACATATAAAGAATATATATATATTCGCTATTGGATATATAAGAGTGTCTACGAATCACAGAATCTATGTAGCTTCTGCATTCTTATATCCATAGAGTCATTAACTGCAAGGAGCTTAAGAACACCTAGATTGGTTATAAATAGAGCTGAGAAACAACACACGAACATTTGCATACGAGAATCAACCAAACCAAACAAAATCGATAAAGCACTTGAAAATTTCTTCAAAAGTCCACTCAGAGCCAAATAAGTTCAGGTTTAATCATATGATTGTTAAGCAATGAATGGAGACAAAACAAACCCAATATAGTTTAAACGAATCTGGAAAAAAAAAGTTCAAAGCGAGTCTCAGTTATATAATAGAACTAATCAAAAAAAAAAAAATAGACTTTCCATAAATTTCCTTTCCTAATAAAGAATCTAGTCTTCACCAACAGTTACCATTTAGAGATCCAAATCAAAGAGTTCAGAACCGTTTATTTAGAAACAAAGCTTGAAGAACATGTGTATGTGAATACACACCTTGATCCAGAGACCCGATCCGCGACGGCGATTGAACTGTTAACCCAAGGACGAGAAGATCGGCAAACGATTGTAACGAAAACGAAAGCGATACAGCAAAACAGAAGAAACTTAGTACTCCTCGCCGTCACGAACTTGCGTAATTTCTGATCTCCACGACGATACGCTAATGAACAAGTTCCCATCTCTTTAGACACAGCACCTCCTCCCATCAGTAAGAAAACGAAATCAGGTTTACGAAATACAGAAACGCGGATGGTTGAAGAAGAAGAAAAACAAGATGAGAAAGACGACTCAGAAGTCAAACCGTGTCAAGAGCGACTAGACTCAGTCATCGTCTTTCTCTAAAATTCACTAAACGAAATGGGAATCATCTCAGATCAGAGACGACGGATAAATCTTCTGGTGTAGCGCGGTGCATAGTAAGAAAAACCAATACAGCCACGTGTAATAATCTTAAGCTTTCGTGTTAACTTTCATAACCACGATCACGACGTTTTCCCGATTTCATGTTGACGTGGTAACTCTTTCAAAGTACATAACGAAATAACAATTTAATTAAGTTTGATTGAACAATTAAAGTCCATAATTTTCTGTATAGTTAAATAATTTTTTTTGTTATCCTTTGGTATGCTAACAACAAAATTACATGAGATTAATGTCGTCGATGGTGGTCTTCTTCGTCTATGGCTCATCCTCTTGAGGAGCAGAAGAAGCAAAGGACTGTGCGAAATCAGAATCCATTACAACACCATTCATAATGTGTACTATAGTCTTCCCTCTCTTTACAAACCCCACCTTCTCAGTCTCGACGCCATTAACGACCAATCCACTACCACCATTTCTCTCTTTTTTCCATATCTTCAATTTAAAACCACTCAGCGACTCATACGACGCCGTTTCGTCGTTCCTTATGTCAGCTTCTTCGACTTTGTAAGGAACCACCGCGAAACCCATGATCCTCGATACGACGGCGTATGTGTTATCTCCGTCGTCGTCTTCGAGGGAGTTGATCCGTCGGCTGTTGTTCGATTTCAGCCCTAGATCTCGGCGAAATGCTTTGTCGGACGGTACGAAGGCTGTGAATACCAGATCTTCGGGTAGCATTCCGATCATCATCTTCCCGAAGTAACCGAGTTCGTCGGTGAGCTCGTTTCGTTGTTTGCAAAGATGGTTACCGGCGGCAAGAGGTGTTTCCGGTAACTTAAGAAATGAGAAGATGAGTATAGTTAGGGAAGAAAGAGTGATGAGTAGAAGTAGGAAAACTACTGGATTTTTCAAAAAGTGAGGCTTTTTCATCGTTTTTTTCTACGTTTTCTTTTCTTGTTGCATTGATTTCATTTGATAAAGCTCTGCTTAATGCTTTCGAGGAAGAAGAAGAAAGAAGCTCGATCTGGGAAAAAGGAGTTCTTTATTTGGCATCAGAAAAAAGGAGTTCGTAATTTACAAGTTAGAACGTCTCGAAATTTGGACTTTGGTGGGCTTTTTTCAAATTCGGCCCAAATCATATTTCGCTGACTTGAGATTTGAGAATAGTTTGACCATATGGACCATAAGAATTTTTAACGTGAATTTAAATAGACTAATCCCAAAAATTAATTTTTTCTCCCCTATTTAATTCTTAATAGCCAAATTCGTTATGTGAAAAATACTAATTTATCTGAAAATTTACACTTTAACATTATTCATCTATCTTTTAACGTTTTCCTCATAAATATTTGTTAAGTTCGAAATAGAAAAGAATTATTGCCAAAACCAAAAAAGAAAAAAAGGAAACTATATCATGAATCAGAAAATTCGAACGAAATAGTAGTACTATTCCAAATCAGCAAAGGAAAATTTCGAACATGTAACACAACGTAAAAAAGGAAATTCGCAAATCGCTACTTGTATATATACGTGACCTCCTTGATCATAATGTCCATCAAGCAAACTCACAAGTTCTTCGTCTCTTGAAAACTCTTTAATCTTTCTCTCTGCGATCTTTTGAAAGTTTCCAGTTTTCCACAATGGAGATGATACTTGGTGGACAAGCAACCAATGGTGCTCTTCGGTCAAAGACCAAGATTGTTTGTACTCTTGGACCGGCATCAAGATCGGTGGAGATGATTGAGAAGCTTCTCAAGGCCGGTATGAACGTAGCTCGGTTCAATTTCTCCCATGGCTCTCACTCGTACCATCAAGAGACTCTCGATAATCTCAGAACCGCCATGGCCAACACTGGTATTCCCTGCGCTGTCATGCTCGATACAAAGGTATCAAATATCGTTTTAACTATTGTATCTTTAAATATTTTTATACATTGCTTTGAGGATCTGGATTTAACTCTGTTTTTAATTTGGTGTTTTACAGGGTCCTGAGATACGAACCGGATTTCTCAAAGAAGGCAAACCGGTACAGCTGAACCAAGGTCAAGAGATCACAATTTCAATTGATTACAAGATAGAAGGAGACTCAAACCTTATCTCCATGAGCTACAAGAAACTTGCAGAGGATCTCAAACCTGGTGATGTGATTCTTTGTTCAGACGGAACAATCTCTCTAACTGTCTTGTCCTGTGAAAAGTCTCTCGGTCTTGTTCGTTGCCGATGCGAGAACTCTGCCCTTCTGGGAGAAAGAAAAAACGTTAATCTCCCTGGAATTGTAGTTGATCTCCCAACACTCACTACGAAAGATAAAGAGGATATTTTGCAATGGGGAGTTCCGAACAAAATCGACATAATCGCTCTTTCTTTTGTTCGTAAAGGATCTGACCTAACCGAAGTCAGGGAGTTACTTGGAGAGCACTCAAAGAACATCATGCTCATGTCAAAGGTGGAGAATCAAGAAGGAGTGATGAACTTTGAGAAGATTCTGGCGAACTCTGATGCTTTCATGGTGGCTAGAGGAGATCTTGGGATGGAGATTCCGATCGAAAAGATGTTTCTTGCTCAAAAAACAATGATCAAGATGGCTAATGCTCTTGGGAAACCAGTGGTCACAGCAACACAGATGCTTGAATCCATGACAGTATCTCCTCGTCCGACAAGAGCTGAAGCCACCGACGTTGCAAACGCTGTTCTTGACGGGACAGATTGCGTTATGCTTAGCGGAGAAACAGCTGCTGGAGCTCACCCTGAGACAGCCGTGTTAACAATGTCAAGGATCTGTAAAGAAGCAGAGGATTTCATCGATTACGACACTCTCCACAAGAAAACGCTAGGAATGGTTTCGTTACCGTTATCACCAATTGAGAGCTTAGCTGCTTCCGCCGTTTCAACGGCCAGGAGTGTATTTGCTTCGGCGATCGTCGTTCTCCCCAAGGGAGGTTACACGGCTGAGCTGGTGGCTAAATACAGGCCGAGCGTTCCGATATTGTCAGTGATTGTGCCGGAGTTTGCTCAGGGAGATGACTTCGACTCGTCGTGCTCGGACTCGGTGGCGAAACGTGGTTTGATTTACCGTGGGATTATTCCGGTGGTGGCGACTGGATCTTCAGCTAGGGATTCGAACATGGACGCATCAGAGGAAACGATTAGATTCGCTATCGGATTCGCGAAGACTAAGGGAATTTGTAGGACTGGAGATTCGATTGTGGCTTTGCACAAGATCGATGGTTCCTCTGTTGTGAAGATAATGAGCGTTGAATAAACAGTTTTTACGCGGGTCTTTTTTGAAATTTCTATCTTTTGGTGTCAAAAATAAAGTCATGAAACTTTAATTTCGGTTTAAGCATTGCTTTTGCTTTCATTAATAATAAAGTTTGGTTATTGACTAATGGTTTGATATAAATCCATATTTATGGTGCTTCTCTTATAATAACCCAAGGGAAAAGTAGATTATCCGGTTTATGGAGAAATAAACATGCACTTTCAATATTTTTGAATGGGTTCTCTAAGCGGTAACTCCAATGGGAGCAGTCTTGAGTCTTGATGAACCGTAAAGGGTTTCTTCGAAGCGGATGATCTCGTTCTTTGAGCCATAAGCAACTTGAGTTCTGTCGTCAAGGTTGATGATGGTCTTGTCGAGCACGGACTTGTATCCATCACTGCTGAATCCGCCAGCATTCTCTATGAGCAGACCAAGAGGAGCCACTTCGAACAACAGCCTCAACTTTGCCTTAGCCGTAGGAGAAGTCACATTGGTGAAGATTCCTTTCTCCTTCACAATAATCTGCCAAAGACAAGTAAACTGTTAAAGTCAAGGTTCTTTCGCAAGTAGAAGAAAAGAAATCAGGTTAAAGTGTCAAAAGAGGAACGAACCTGGTTAACGTCAGGAACCATTCCTCCGGTGTATCGCAGTGTGTACTTCTCTTTCACGTAGTAATCAATCAGCTGACTCACAAGTAATAAAGAAGAATAGCATTCAGCATACAATTGCTACATTGGGGATCAGATTCAAGAAAGATTAAAGTTTTATGGATCGGAAGCAAGAACCATGCTGTATTCGGAGTTGTCGAATGTGGCTCTCAAGTTTCCTGGGGAGAACATTTTCCCTTCTGCGATCTCTGTTGTCTCCTTTACATGCTGCCATTTCCCTGAAAGAAAAAAACTTTTTGAGCTTAGTTGAAAAGCTACCAAAGTAGGAATCTTGATAAACCGAGATTAGACCAAAACTCTAGAAAACCTTCATCAAGAAGCAAGAACTCATGGGTTCCTGGAAATCCCTTAATGGCCAAAACATAAGTGGTTCGTGGACCGTAGATTCCCATGGCTGCAGCAACTTGGTCTCCTCCTGTGACTCCGGTTAACTTGTCTCCAGGCCAAACCCCGAATATGGTTCCCACAGTGAAGTTTGTATCCACAATGCTTGATCCATCCAATGGATCAAAAGCAACACTAAACCCACCTATCCAAAACAAATTCATATTCTTTTGATAAACATTTCTGCGCAATTTGGGAAACGGAAATTATCAGTTAAACTTATGTAAACTAACCTTCCGCTGGACCTCCCATGTCTTGAAGCTCAGGTACTTCTTCAGAGCAAGCATACTTGCACACATGCGAGTATTGCAAAGCCTATACGAACCAATACACAAGTCAAACTTAGTGATCCATTTTCTGCTGCAAAACTTATGAAATTATCAAAATGTAACAAAACCTCAAAGAGAAGCTTATCAGCGAGCATATCGACAGCGAGTTGTTCATCACCAAAGGAATTGACACAAGCTGTTCCACCACAAGAAGCTGTTCTAACTTTAAAAGCTATTGTCCTCAATGCTTCTCCCATACACATAAGCAAAGTTCTCAATCCCTTGTCAGGAGTTGCTTGTGCCAAAAACTCTTCCTATAAATCAAAAAGTAAGAAACTTTAACTCAAAAAACCGAATCTTATAGCACATAATTTGAATAAAGATTGAGCCTTTGAATAGTTATTACCAAGCTTTGGCCAATTTCACATTTGGTAACACTTGAAGCACCATTGCTCTTAGCCTTAGTGGATTTCAATTGCGATTTTGGTGCTAATCGTAGTGAATCTCCAAAGATTGAGCTCGATTTCAAACGCTGGTTGCATCAAATATCACAATTAGTGACTGAAAAAAAAATCTTAATCTGTACTCACACGTGTGTTGGAGTGAAGTCAAAGTTATATGCATAATAGCAGGGGAAAACACGAACCTTGAAGCTGGAGGATGTGGAGAAGGAAGGAGGAGAGACCAATGTGGAGGATCGTTGAGAAGAGACACTTGGGGGAAGGATCCCACGTGAGTAACAGGCGATGCTGGTCTCCATTGTTAAAAAGCTCGAGGTTTGATCAAAGAAGAAGGAGGAGAAGGAACTCTGAGTAGAGAAAATGGTGAAGACAAAAATCAGAAAAGAACCACAAGTGGACTTGGAAGAGATAAAGGATGTTCACGGTCAGAGTGACACGTGGCAGAAGATGAAGAAGATATGATTATGGGTCTGGTGACTGGCAATTGGGCGAGAGAGACGATTGAGGCAAAAGGATGTGCTGAGAGGAGAAGCTTTGATTTGTGTTCATTCATTTTTTTGTGTGGTTATGGTCTTTTTATCATATAAAATGAGATTATATCACCTTCTCCAAATTTCATATCTCACCACTGATGTTAAAGAAAGGTGATATAGAAAGCAAGTATAATTTACAAAAAACCGTTACAAGAAAACAAAATTAATTACAAACTTGGAATTATCAGAGCCAGGTTTCGATCCTGGGACCTGTGGGTTATGGGCCCACCACGCTTCCGCTGCGCCACTCTGATTTGTTGATTTCATATATTATTTTAAATTATATAATCTTTTTTCATCAAAATTCCTCGTACACAGAAGTTTGAACATAAAACCAATGTAATCATGGAATCCACAAATGCATGCTCGGAAATAAACTTTGTTACAGTATAAACATAACACAAAAGAATATTTAGACCTCTATTTTATACGAATTTCATTCGGTCCACGTCTCAATCTTTTACCTTTATTGATATTTGTTTAGTATGATAACGTTCAAGAATGATTCTAGTTTTTTACTTTTGAGTTTTGAGAAAAGGTAATGGATAGTGTTGTTTTTGCCAGGAACAAAGGTATTGAAGTCAAAATTATCCTTGCAAAGCACCATTAGTCCATATGAAACACACACTACGTAAAAGCTGACACAAGACTAGAGTTTTTAGAGTTTGTTCAAAAATCAAGCTAATTAAATCACATGACATGGTAATAGATGAGAATGATCTTGGTCATTGGGTTTATATGTTGCCATGTCAAATGATTCTTGGTGGGCTGCTACTTCTCTATCTTCATTGTATCTTTAGTCTTGTATACACCTTCTTACTGTAAGAAAATCATTGAACAAACATATCATAGATCAGTCTTAGGATTAGACAAAAGCACACAAACCCACACTACACTATTGCCTCATCTTTTCCATGTGTGAGACCCAAAATGACACTCCCTGACTAATCAGAAACAAGTTTTTTTTCTTCTATCCACTCTAATCAAACAGTTTCTTCCACACGAAAAAGAACAGTCTCAAATTTATGCAAACATAGCAGTAACCTATCTAAACCTAAGCCACTTAACCGAACAACAAGTTACCAAACGAAACAGAGGAATAATCAAAACTAAGAAGCAGAGGAAACAGAGACAGTACCTCTCTCTTCTACATGATCAACAGATAAAGCATCACCACTCCCATAAAGAATCCGATCAAAAGCTCACTGAATCTTCTGGCTTTGCCTCCATCCGAGAACTCAAAGCTGTACTTACTAGTCATGTTATGATGCAGAAGTCCCCAGTTCCTGATCCCTTGCTTGGCATCTTTCTCAACAAGCTCAAAGATGTAAACTTCAGAAACACCTTCTTTCCTCAACGGTGTTCCAAATCCGCTTCTCAAGTGAGTCAACAAAGATTTTAAGAACATCTCACTGTACAGCAACGTTGCATCTACTTCACTAGCATCAATTCCAGAGCTAGGCCAACCAGTCTCCGCAACAATCACCGGAAGATTCTCGTGACCCATGACAGCCATAGCACTAATCACAGCATCAACCATCATATCAAAGAGATTACGGTATCTAACTCCGGTGGTGAGATCGTCTCTGAAATTAAACGGGAACTCCTCAAAAAGAGCAAATCCAATCGGAATTGAGAAGCTAGACCGATACATATTGTAGGGATAGAGATTGATCAAGAAAGATGAGTTGGTTCTTTCGAGGAATTGCAGAATCGGTCTGATAATCACTTCGCCGTTAGGTTGCTGAAACTGCGCCGACGAAGGTGGGAACGCCGTGGGCACGATGTTGAAGAACGAGAACGTCGTCGATACAGAGATCTTGTAGATTCTCAGATCCACGAGAGACTGATGAACGTTATGCATCGCACGGAGGAGAAACGGAGATACATCCGGCGAATACGAAATGACGTCGTTCCCGACGGAGATGATCGAGATCTTGGTCCGGGGATGAAACGGAAGCACATGGCGATAGACCCAACGCATCGCGAGTGAACGATTCGAAGCGAGTAGAGGAACTAGAGGATTCGGTACGGAGAGGAAGAGGGATACGTTGGTGTAAGCGAAGGCACGAATCATCGCCGGATTTGAGTCGAGGAGCCTCACCGCCGGAATCTTCATAGAGACGACTTTAGCGGCTATCCTGTCCGGCGAGAGTTGTACGGTGCCGGAAATTGAACCTGGAGTTGAGTAGGTGACTCCGATCGTCGTGGCGGAGGTGATCGAAGGTATAGCTATGGCGGTTAACGTGATAAGGAGGAGGAGATAAGAAGAGAAAAGGTGCATTTTCTTCATTCTCTTTTTCTTTCTTTCTTGGAAGTTAGAGAGAGAAAGTGAAATCGGAAACTGAGGCTTCTGATCAAAGAGAGACGAAAGGTTGAAGAAGACGAAGTGTGAGAATGGGCGGGAGGATTCTGTTAGAGGAGTTAATGATCCTGTGTGCTTCGGTGTATATTTGATACTGTAGACATCACTCGTAAATCAAACACTAATGTGCCTACACGTGTCCTCTATGGCGGATGTTTGACCTAAGAAGTCTAACGAAGTGAAAACCCTCTAGCTTATTGAGTGGCTTTCTTCTAGTCCATTAAGCCCAAAGAACCAAAGCTACGTTCTTTAAATGCGATAGAGCGAGAGATATCGACGAAGAAGTTTTATAAAACGAAAGTTTCAGATTTTATAGATACCAAATCACGAACAGTCAACACTCAACACAAACAAAGATTTGTTTAGCAGATATCAATGGAGATAAGAACATGAAAGGATAGATTACACACACGCTCACACACAAAGAGAAAAGTAATCTGAATCAGTTTAGCATCAACTTCATATTTTAGACTAGAGAAGAGGAGGAGAAGAGATTATTGAATTTTAAGATTCAGGAACCGCGGCTGCTGGTACACCGGCAGCGACAGCAGCAGCTGCAGAGCGTTTGATGGAAGCTGATTTGATCAAGTGGTTGTAACTTCCCTTTTCCTTGAAGAGCTGAGCGAAATGGTGCTTGCAGTACAGGATTCCTTCAAGAGCTGCATAGTTGGAAGGCGAAATCGGGCAGCCTCCATGGGAGCACTTGAAGCAGGACTTGTGATATGTCTGGCTCTCCACTGTTACCTGCAGTTTTCCGAATCGAAATAACAAGATGTAAGCAGGATTGACCAAAGAGCTTCAAAGATCACAGCAAATGTTTGATACTAAGTCATGATGTCAATAGCTTTTATATTCTAGACTTTCACCAAGAAAGAGAATCATGGTTTACTCGAGAACCAAGCACAAGCCATAGCTGTGAATCTCCTTAACAGCTCAAAACAGGAAAATTAAAGCAACAAAGAACCAAGATTTCTTATGCATCCATGCAAGACATTATGTTCCTTACAAGCTCTCGGTTATATGTATTTATCCAATTCATCAAAGAGAAACACAGGTGAAGTCTTGCAAATGATCAAACTATATTTCAGAGTAATATTCCAACATAGGCCTTAGAGGACAGAAAGGCGATTCCCGAGCTTCAGTTAATGGAAAATGCACGAGTGAAGATCTATCAATATTAAACAAATTCTAACCTTCTCGATAGGATACACAGTTTTACTGCAAGTGGCGCATTTCTCTTGTGTACCAGAGAACCTGCCGGCAACTCGACTAGGTGTCCTTGTCTGAGAACAAACCGAGAAAGGGATATAAAAGAAAGAGTCAATTAATGTGCCCAATGAACTTTCATCCAAACCAGATAAGAAACATTAAACGCTTACCAGTTCAGGAGTTGATTTATCAGCCGGCTTTGCAGCTGTGGGGGAAAAAAGGTTTAATATACATTAAATCGATAACCAAAAGAAGGGCAAGCGAAATAATTGAAATTGAAGCAGAGACAAGACAACAACATACGTGACTGAAAGTTCTTGTTGAAACTACCAGACTCCTTGAAGAGCTGCTCAAAATGAGGCTTACAGTACAACACACCTTCCATGGATGAGTAACTGCTCAGCTGAAAAAACCCATTAAAAAGACATTTACTTTCTCAAGAACTGCTTATGGGTACAGTGGGAATTCAAATTGTAGCTGTGAAACATATGGATAATTTGTAAACTCAATACTCCAGCCAAAGAGGCAATACAACGATGAGAGTCAGACCTGAAGCCTGCTTTTGCAGTGAGTGCATTTGAAGCAAGACTTGTGATAGCCAACTCCATCAGCTGAGAGAAGCTCCACAGCATACACTGTCTTCTCACAAGCCTTACATTTCTGTTGAGTTCCTGTAAAAGACATTCTCAAAGCCTTGCCTTCACTTTTCACACCTTCTTCTTCTTCTCAATCTAAAATTTTAAAAACCAGAAAACAATGGTATAAAAAGACATCCCATTGAAAAAAAACACTTCTTTTTGGAACGTCTAATAACAAAACGATCCATTGATAATTGAAACAAGATTGTATCCAGACGAAGGTAAATTGTAATCAGAGATCAGGATCCTTAGAATGAAATCGTAAACCTCAGGAAGGTTTATCACAAAGGACGGATCTAACACCTCACCTTGAGCTACCTGCTGTCAAGATCTGATCCTCGAATTAAACTGCAAAATACACGACGCCAAATTAATCAGAGAAAAGATTGAGCGATGTGAGGATGCGCAAAAGTCAACTTGTTTCGAGACAGAGATAGAGAGAGAACGAGAGAGCTGCTACGTATATCTACCTTTAGATATTCGAAAATGGAGGATCTGTGTAAAGATCAAGACGATGATGAGTAAGAAGAAGAAGATGATACAGCAAAGGAATAAGTTTTGGGTAGAATCCTTTTTTGGTTTTTTATCTTCTCCTTTTAGCTGGAGGAGACAGTGGGGTTCCACTTTGGTTTGTCCTCTCTCTAATTTTTTTTTTTATTATCATAATTTAGAATTTGTAACAGCAAACAAGTATTAGTTTATGACTATATCCCTACTATAGTAAAAGAGAAGTACAAAAGTACTTTCGGGTCGGGTTAAAAACAGAAAAATAACCCGAAATTAAAATGATGTATACTTAATTTTTGGACTAAAATTTGGATATGGACATTAACTATTAAAAAAAAAATCAATTACTAAAAATTCCCCTTATTTAGGAAACTATAATAATGATACATGCATATTTTAGAAATCTAAATTAATTGTGTATAATTAAATATAAATGGTGAATAACAATTGCACATTTTAAGGTAATTACGTTTCTCATCACCTAAAAAAGATCTTAATATTTAGATAATATTCTAATTACCAAATAAGTTTGTAATCTTTGATATAATGGTTAATCATTTGGAAATATGATTAAATACCCACCCAAAATATTAAAGTTTCCTAATACAGTATTAAAGGCTACGATTTAATTATCCATTTTAAAATGAAAATATGAATATTTAAAATATATAAATTTTCAAAGAACACAATTGTTAATTGTAAAGTTTTAATAAAAATTAGCATTTAAAATAGCTTCCGAAAACTTATATTTGAAAACTATATTTTTGGAAATAATACTGACAAATTTAAATTTAGAAATAGCATTTATACAAAGAGATCTCAGTTTTAGAAAATATTCTAATAATCAAAACAATACAATATTGGTTTAGTTTTCTGATTATTTATTTTCGGAGATCTAATTAAATTTTATGATTCTAACAAACAATATCTAAGTGTAAAGATTTAATTACCTAAAAAAATATACAGATATATATATATATATATATATAACAAGAATAAAATATTTTCATATTGAAAATAATATATTCATTTATTATTTTATACTCCTTATATACACCATATAAATAAATAACAAAAAACAAAAATTATTTATAGTAAATGAAATATTATTTATACTTTTGGAAATATAATAAATATTTTTATATTTTGTATTTTACTAAGCATGTGAAAAAAATTAATAAGTAATTACGTAATTTATGTTTTACAATGGCAAATTAAATTTCAAAATTATTCATTTAAATATCAATAAATTTAAAATTTAATAATAAGTAATATATATTCATAAGGTAATCATAGTAAAATATGTTTACATGAAGAATTTCTTTCCTAATCTTAATAATATATTCCATCACATAAAATTTCTATAAGACTCCCAAATTAATTTTCTTTTATAATAAATGCTTACGAAAGTCAATTCAACAAATAAATTAATTCTAACGATATTTTTGGAATTTTTTTAAAAGGAAATCAACTTAAATTCGAAGACAAGTTAATCTCTATAAATACTGTTATTCATCTACCCAATTCATTTTTTCCTTATTTGAAAAAACTGGATCATTCCATATCCAAATTCTCTCTTCCTCATTTTTTATTAACATGGTTCATCTATATCATAAAGTTTATCATTTGCATTTTTGTTATTTTACAATTTGCAAGTGAATGATTTATTATTCTTATTTTTTGGTATATATTGGCATTTCCAATCACTTTCATTGGATAATGCTTTTTCAAATATTATGCATTTATGTCGATGATATTTTTAGTAATACACGACTGGTTTGTAAACTCACAATCATATAGTCAAACGGGTTATGATTAATATTTTTTAAAAACATTTTTTAAGAGTTGGTCTGTTAAAACATACATACAATATAAGCGTGTATATTTTACAAGTGTAATCATTTAAAGTTTTCATATACTCGATTTCTTCTTTTATTATAACTTTTAATTATATATTAGATAAATATTTTCCCCCGCGCTGTAGCGCGGGTCCGTTTCTAGTGTTGTTTAAATTATCTGTTTATGTAACTTTATTCTCCTGGAATGGAATGTGTTTGGTGTTCCAGTCTCTAATCAGTTTTGTTAATATGAATAAAGTACCAAATAAACTTAGGCAACATCTATAAATATAACACCAAAACATATTAGAAGTGATAATAAATACATTGCAATTGATCATCAACTACTTTATACTAGAGTGCAAGGCCAATTCTTATAGTCCCAGCTTATTTATTTATTGCCTTGTGTTTGAATTATTTTCTAGGACATATCAGAAGGCTTCTTAACGGCTCGGAGCTGGACTGAGTTGTCAAAACAGTGGAAGAAGCCAAAGTGAGGGGACCTCTCGTACCAAGTTTCTTGTGGTACATGTGTGTCCCAGTGTTCTCCGCTGCTGCTTTTACCGTATTTGTGAACCCATCCTGATCCGTTGTGACCTTCTCCCCAACTTCGGTTCCATCTGTCACCATGCTTCCCTTCCCACCAAGTCTCACCTTGTTTCACTCCTTGAGCGCTCGGGTTGAAGTTCTCGTCCCATTTGTCTCCCCATTTGTCCCATCCATCCCCTACCCACCGTTCCGCCCACTTGTCTGTGTACTTTGTGCTTCCGCCTTGCCCGTCATACTTCTCTCCCCACCTGGAATAAACCAATAAAGACAGTTAGAAACACCTTGGTTAATTAGTCGCAGTTTGTGTAGTTTCAATTCTATTTCCTTTACAGGTACAGAGGAGAACTACATATCCTCTGAGGACAAGGTAGGAGTGGCTTAATACAAAGCTAATCGCTCCTAAAACTCACAAGTCAAATTAACAAATTAACCAATGCTCGCAGACTAGGCTTCTAATTGTCAATAAAGCACCTTAAAGAGAGTGTGAAAAGCCAATGTTTTGCAACAGACGTTCAGTAGGGTATTAACTGATTTGCTGTCTAACAGTATAAGGTGTTAACGAACTTGATGATATCTTAAGGGCTATGTTAATGGTGTTTTTATTATGTGAAAAGAGGGTTTTGAGTATACCTTTCATGCCAGACATGAGCATGGCCAGCATCAAGGGGTGTATTGCGGTCAATGCTGCACCACTTATGAGCCCATTTTTCTGATTTTCCGGTAGCATCATAATGCTCCCACCACTTCTCTTGCCATTCATCACCTTGCCCACTCTTTCCCCATTTGTCTGCCGTTTTCTCCATATGCACGACACCATTCTCCTGTAATAGACAATTCAAATAAAGTCACAAATAGTCTACAGTACACTACATACCCCTGCAGATTAGTGTCTCAGTTTTAGATTTATCTACAGTAACTACTTTAACATTGACCTGGCTCATCGACTCCCTCCAGAACTCACGCCACACATTTCCAGTCGCATCACGACCTGATTTCTCAGAACCAAGTTCCTTGAACCCAAAATCATCAGACGCCTCCCAATACTTGTCTTGCCACTCAACAACACCATCAGCAGTAACCCCACGTATCATTGTCCACCTGCAAACCACACCATCAGGTCTTTTCTCTACACCCGTTTGCTTCCACCACTTCAATCCGTCTTCACTAACTCCAGAGGATGAAGACTCATCCAAACTATCAAGAACCCTAGCAACTTCTTCCGCATTTGCTGAAGATATGATATCAAGATCATGTTCTGTTGACGATGTCTCAGCGGAGCTAGGCTTTGTCTCTGCCTCTTTTCGAACCTCGATCAAAGACTCAAAAGGCGGGATAGTAAAACTGTGTCTTTCAGAAGAAAGCATACTCTCATAGGGTATGGAAAGAGAATCTGCTGATTTGTCTTTCTCCAATACAGGATTTGACAAAGTTGGAAACTCAGCAGGCTTTTCCACAGCCTGCAAGTCCACATTCATATTCGAACTTATGTCACTACCTTGAGGTGGTGTCCAAGACCAAAAATCTGGTCCTGGCGTCTCAGTCCCAGAAGTTTCTGACCGAGGCACATACACAGTTCTGCTCCACATTCCTGGTAGATTCCAACAACATAGCAATCAACAAACCAAAATTATTACCAAGGAAGATGACTGACTAAAACTTAACATATAGCGAAAAGAATGAAGAGCTAAACCATATCATACCAAGTTTAGCATTTTTCGAGGTCTCCGTGACCTCAACTGAGTCATTGTTATCATCATCTGGGAACCCCTCTTTCCCGTTGGTGGAATTGTTAGAAGCTAGAATCGCTTTAGCCGCCGAGATGGCTGCAGCGGCACGATCAACGACCTGCATTCGCTGAATCCGATCTCTTTCCTCCACAGAAACTTCCAGAATCTTCTGAAACTCATCAGTCTTCTTCTCCAATTCACCTCCTTCCTCCTTCTCACCATCGACGGCTACAACATTCTCAGCAATTTTCTCAAAGGCCTTGTCTTTCTTCTCGCGATCAACAGCGTTTTTCCACATATCGAGGTACGATTCAGCTCCTTCATTAGAAACCCTAAGAATCCTCACACCGCTTTTACTACCTCCTCTCCGGTTCCTCCAGTTCGCCGGTGCCGCGAAATTCACAGAAGAGGAGAAGTCACGTCGTCGTCTTCCGTCGTCCCAGTGAGAGGAGGAGCCCAAAGCTGCGCCAATAGAAACCCCCAAACGCGATGCCATTTTGTTTCTTCTTCCCTTAGAATTCCAATTCCAAGTCAGAATCAGTATTAGAAAGACAAAAACAAAAACTTTTGTAAAACTTTGAGAGAAAGAAGAAGACGATCTCTAAAGATTGTGAGAGAAATTGTAACAAAGGGTTGGATTTTATCAACTCACGTTGAGCTGGTTGAGTCCAATCAAGATCTGTCCTCGAAAGTAACTCCAAAAGACACGGAAATTTTGAAAAAAGAAGAAGTAGAAGATGATCCACGAAAAGAATAGAATCTTGGAGATTGTGTTTAAGGACACAGTCAGTGAGTGACTGAGTGGGGTTTGTGTAACTTGTACTATGGCTCTTTTTTCTGATGTCGGCACCAGATATTGGGATTTTTATTATTTGGCGGGTGGTGTCAAATAAAAGGTTTAATAATCTGTTTTATCGTTGAATCATTGTTTACAAATTATAAATCTTATTTTACATCATTATTTAACAAGTATCATTCACATAATGATCATCTACGATGTTTAGTGAGTGCAAATCTTAGAACATTATTACGAAGAAGTTTTAATTGGATTTGCAGTAATCTAATATTTGGACGCTTATTTCTTGTTGAGAGTCAGATTGAAGAAGAGTAAGAGAACATATAGTAGAGACATCACATCGAGAAATGAAAAGGATCAATATTTTTCTGAAATACCATTAATCAATAATCAAAACTGACAGAAGAGTCTATGACAAAAAGTGAAATAAAGGATAAAGACTACAGCTCCTGAGAAATGATACTTGTGATTCTTTCCGGTAGTTGTAAAATGTTCTTGAATTCCTGCATTAGGAAGTCGAATCAGAATCCATGTTTACTTGCAGAAATAAATCTAGAACTATCCATTGCAATTGCTCTTAACTACAATACACAGCCTTTCAATAAAAATATAGCCTAGATCCCAAGGTAATAAGTTGGTAAAGGTATGGTTTTCAATTCTAGTTATGATCATAAACGAAACGAAAGCAGTAAATGAGACTATTAGATCAAAAGATAGTTGAAAATGAGTATAATACCTCATATGTTGCTTGGGTACATGAACACTCTCACTTTAGCTCCCTGAGAGTAACACAGCAGAACAAAATAACAAGTCATTAAGACTGGAAATAAAAACATACAGTTAACCAAGATATGTTACAAGAAAGTTAAAAGTACCATTGACTTTGGTGGTAGGTTTGAGGTGAACTTAGCACGGACAACACCGCTGTTACCATGAGGCCTAGCAACCTTTCCCCAAATGCAACGGTAGTGAGAACCGTTCTTCTTTGTCTTTGCCTTGTAGATGTAAGCCATACGCTTTCCCTTGTACCAGTTAACCTCCTCTTGAGTGTTCACTCCTTCAATCTGGACGAGAGAAGTGTTGGGGTACTGGTTGGACTTGGACCTGAAAATTTACTTAATAGTTAGTAACCAAAGCTTTGTTTCACGTTACAGGATTTGCAACAATTGCATATAAATATCTAGAAACCTATCACCTGAATCATTTCTACAACACTAAATCAGAGACTAACTACCAAAACACAAACACAAGACTCAAATAATTGTCGGAAACTCCAATGTAAACTAGGGCATCATGTCATAAAGATCTTTACAGAATTAGAAAACAGATAGATGCTTGATGAAGCCATAGATCTATGTTGATATACAAAAACAATCCATAAACATTACAGCCCAAATAACTCAGAAACATTGCAATGTTAACAAATCAATTCAAAAGGATGAAAATTTCAAAGTACCTCTTGTAACCGAGGACTGTTCCTCGCACATACAATCTGCAAAACAAGGAACCATAGATTTCAATCAGACCACTAACGAACAAATTCGAATCGGAGACTCAGCTGAAAGAGAGAGGTAAGTTTCACATTCGAAAGTCTAATTACCTAACTCTCTCTCCTTGACGACCCTTCATTTTCAATCCTGCAACTGTCTTCTTCCTCTTCCACTCTTTTATGCCGGCGAGTGAATTTTACAGAGAAAAACCCTAGGTTTCGTTTTTAGGTCAAGACTATATATATTGGATTCAGAAATAAGCACAGCTCAATACTCTATTGGGCCTGTATGTGGCTATCTACTTCAATGTAGCCCATAAGATAATACGGCTTGGCCCAAGTATGACTTTACGTTTAATTACAAAATTAATTACTGTTTTAAAAACTAACGAAAACATTTTTATAATTATTATTTTTGAAAAAACAGAGAACAAGAATGGAGAAAACAGAGGAAAGCGTCGGAATCAGAGTTTACACAGCGACTCCGCCGCAAAAACCATCAACAACACAACCGTCTCCCAAGTTGAAATCTCTTCACTGCCCACGCTTCCGGCAGTAGCCGCTGCCGGAGGAGGAAAATGTCGAAAACGTCGCGTAAGGAGTTCAAAAAACGGTTTCCAAAACATTAATGCTCGTAAATTTTCTTCCGACAGGAACTCTCTTGATGTTCGAAATATTTCTTCCGTCGATCTACCGTGACGGAGACTGTAACGGGATCAACACGCTCATGATTCATCTCCTCTTGCTACTATGCGCAGCGTCTCGTTTCTTCTTCCATTTCACCGACAGTTTCAAAGCCTCCGATGGGAAATCTATTACGGTTTCGTGACGCCGCGTGGACTGGCGGTGTTCATGAAACCGCCACCGCCTGAGTTTGTAGGAGGAGATGTGATTGCGAAGGCGGAGATTGCGGTGACTGATGAGAGATATAAGTTGAGGGTTAATGACTTTGTGCATACGGTAATGAGTGTTTTGGTGTTTATAGCGATTGCGTTTTCTGATCGAAGAGTTACGGGAAGGTTTGTTTCCAGGGAAAGAGAAAGAGATGGATCAAGTTATGGAGTGTTTCCCATTGATGGTCGGAATTGTTTCTAGTGCTGTGCTTTGTTGCTTGTTTTTCCGACCACTCGATATGGTGTTGGATGCATGGCTACTTGACTTAACTTCACTTCTCTGTTTATTTGTTATATAGTTTAGCATCTAGTATTTTTCTTTCTTTGTAATTTACAAATCTGAATTTAACTTCACTGTCTACTATTCATCTATTGTATTGTTGAGAAAAAATGTTGTGCCGATCTGAACAAAATAGGGATTACAGCGCTTTTTATATATTTGGTATGAGTCTATGAGATAATACAATGTTAACAATATCGAAGAATACAAAAGCATAGAGTTTTTTGGTTAAACATCAGCAAAAACATGGAAGTTCTTTGAATCAACAGAGATGAGTCTTACAGCAGCAATAGCAGCTGCAAGAGACATTAATCCGAAGAAGCAAACATTAAGCCAATGCCATAGCTTTTGCACAAGACTGAGCTTATCGTTCATAGCCACTAGATACATGTGATTCGCTAATATGAATGTCAATGGGAACGTGCTTATCGCTCCCGTGAGGCTCATAAAATCTCCAAGAAACGGCAATAGCGCAGAGAGAAGAGTGCTCACCGCAAGGTAGCTTCCTCGTGCTACTGTTCTAAACAACAGATTCTTAAATGCTAATGGACTTCCTTTGACTCCATACTTCGTATCCATATACTCATAAGTCGGACTTGCAAAAATCTACAAAAACACAGGAAGTTAGGCTTAAGATTAAGACGAAAGAACTCATCATCTAGGTCTTAATTAATAGCAGTTGAAGAAGAGAAACTTACATGTAAAGAGATAACGGACTGTAAGAAAGCAGAAATGTTAGCGAGTGCTTTAACCCATAGAGGTCCACTGACGCTGTTTAACAAATAAGTTGATGTCGAGGAACCGTAAGCCCAATAACCAATGAATGCAACGGCATACATTGGTAAAACACCAACAGTGAATTGAAAATACAGAGCCTTCATCATGTTTTTAACAACTGGTTGCTTCACCGTGGCCTGATCAATGCACAAATATTAGTCTTAAGGAAAACAAAACAGAGAAAGATTCGATCGAGCATGAATAGATGGATGAGGCTTACCTGTATTTCCGGGAGCATTCCCGTGTTGAATGCAAACACTAGATTTGCTGCTGCTCCTGTTATGGTAAAGAGTTTGTTTATTGATGATCCTTGTATGTTATAGTCTCTTTCAGGTTTGTTTACTCCTATTGAACCAAAACACATAATGATGAAAAAAACAGATTAATCAAATGTATCATTAGCTTTTTGGTTTGGATATATGAAATCATTATGAGGTTGGATTATTTCAACAAGAATGTTACCATCTTTAACTGATAGAACTATTGCAACAATAATGTAGATTATGCTGAAGATTGTTGAAACTCCGAGCCAGATTCCAAGAGCTGATAAATGAGGAATACCGATTGCGAAAATCGCACATACTACACCCGCGATGGCGATAAAGTGAGGCAGCTTCATCAAGCTGTCATCTCTGAAAAGTACATAAACGGCCTGCACAAAATGCAAAAGCAGAGCCAAAAAATGAGCAGCTGACTTATCGGATTTTCTCGCAACAAAACAAACACGTGGTTTATCTTTTGGATCGTACCTTTAAGGCGGAACCAGCAAGTATGATGAAGCCACAATTAATCATGAAAAGATTGACATATTGCAATCCCCATGTAACACGATACATCTTTCTACCTGATCAAGAAAGCAAAACACACATATTGTAAGCCTGAAATGGTTTTTAGACAGCCAAACTCATCTGAGAAAGAAGAAATGCGAGAGGTAATGGAATATTATACCATAGATGAAGCCTGCAAGATCTCTATAACGAATGTGTCTTTTTCCACCAAACTCATGAAGCTTGGCGATAAGAGCGTTTGCATAAAGGGAGATCCCTGTAGCAAGAATGAGACCAACCACACCACCAATCCAACCCAAAGGAACCATGACTGTCCCGGAATATCCCAACACATAGGCGCTGTTTATACCAGTTGTTAGTACAAATGCTACCTGAAACCATGAATCTGTGTACAATTTTCTCAACCGTTAGAAAAAAGCTCACACACAACAAATACAAGATTTTATAATCCAGCTTCAAAAATCACCAAAGATCACAGCAATTCTCACAAAAGGGTTTCCCCAAAATCATCAAGAAAATAGTTTTAACAAGAAGGTACAGCTTAAAATCATCAAAGACTATTATAAAAAAAAAAAAAAAACTTCAGCAGCTGAAATATGAAAATTACACTTGCTATGTTATGCATACATCAGCGACGTATTAGTGAATCAGACAAAGAAGACAAAAAGGCTAAAGTTGAATGGAAAAAAGTAGCATAATTCCCCCAATGGCTTTCCAAAGTAAAAAGCTTATCAACCAAAGCTCGAGATCAACGCAGTAAACGACAAAGTGGATCCACCCAAAAAGAGCAAAATAACAAAAATATAACAATAGAAAAATATCCAAAGAGTTAGAGAAGATAAGAAACGAACCGCTGCTAATCTGATGAGCAGTCTCAGGGACTTCGAGATCAGTTTTCTCCACTGCAAGAACTTTACGGTTCCTAGCCTCACTCGTATCCATAATTTCCGACAAAGAATCTATGTAACTCCTTAAAAAAACCTTCAGTTTCTTCTCTCCTCAGACTTCGAGAACTGTTTTGCTCTGCTCACACTCCAAAAGACAAGTTTCTTGATTCGGTAGAAAGAATCGTAACCACACACAAAAGGTGTGAAATGGAATTGATGAAAACGAGAAAAGATGAATTCTGTTTTTTCCCAAGTGTTTGATGTTTTGGGTCAAAATTTAATTGAAGGATGGGTCAGAAAGATGGATACGTCTCTCTGTGTCACACTACTCTGCGTTGAATTTATTTGCACGATCCTATAAATATGGGCAACGCAACGTTTTGTAGTGTATTTAAATATTATGAAAATTACATACAATTATTTTCTTACCCTAAATAATAGAAAAGAATCTTGAGAATGAAATAAAATATGAATGAATCTCATTTATTGTGTATTTTTGGAAAGGTTGATAATTTTAGTCTAATCCATTAAAATCTTGTCAAGATAACCAATTTTTAGTCTCATTACTGTTCGTTTTTTCAACAGTCCGAGTAATTACCATTATTTTTCCAAGACCAGACCAAAGTCATTATGATGAAAACTTTAGAAAGTCAAAGTAGGCAAGTGAGAACGTAACTGCAGGTTTACAAACCTTTTTGATGTAATTATTTGACTAACCATTATGACATAATCTTCCTTTGACTACTTCTCACATTATCTTCAAAACTAAAAAAAATTGTCGTTGCTCTCTCTAATTATTAGAATGACTTAAAATCGTATGTCCCTCTCTCTTGGCATAATAATTATCAGCTTATCTCAACTAATTAATTTACTCAGGCTAACATTAAAAAATAAAAAGATTAAAATATAAAAAATTCATACTATGCTCTCTGATTTATACAAGTACATTATTAGGTTACATTTATATATATGCCCATTTCCAATTTTCTATATAAGTATATATTTGTGTTAGTTAATCGTTTATAAACAATCAGCTGTTTTAGTATTTTAAAATTGTCAAGTTGGAAAGAAAAATGGAAAGTCTAAAACGAAACTTAAAAAATACAATTTAGCCTTTACGCAAACTACGTGGTTTGATTTTGTGGACAATAAACAAATTCAACACCATGCAACAACACTTTATTATGATGGAATTTTCAGCTCATAGCGCGTTCACATGTGTTCTGACTTCTTTTTTCATTGACTAAATCAAGTTTTTAGTGTAATACGTTTTAGTCAGTTTCACTATTGTACTATACTATTAATTTAGTGACTATAACCAACATATTTTTAACTTTCGGGAATTTTTTAATTATTACGAGACACATTATTTTTTCTGCAACATGTTAATTTAACAAATAATTTTTTGGATATCATTTTTCAATATATTAACATTTAGTTTATCAAATAGGATATATATATATATATATATATATATTATTTTTTAGTAAAATGAATTACTTATTTATTAAGATCTTTTAGTTATTTTAGCTTTATTTCTCAACTGTTTACTTGACTTCAATTTTACATTGTTTTTCTTTAAAATACATATTCCAAAATAAATTCAAATATCTTCATTAGATAATCTAATTTAGATTCTTGAACTTATATAAATAATATGGAGTACAAAAAAAATATCAAAACATTAAATATTCCGTAAAATATACAATCATTATGCAAAACAAGTATGTTTTTGTTTTAAATTAAAGCTAACTAGAAATATGAAAAAATGATTACAAAATTATAAATTTATCAAAGCCAAGTTTCGATCTTGGACCTGTGGGTTATGGGCCCACCACGCTTCCGCTGCGCCACTTTGATTTTCTTATCAGTATTGTGAATACAACATATATATTTACAACACACTAAGGATTTTTCTAGTTTTATTTCTATTTTTTTGGAAGATTGATTTACACACTTGCCTTTTCGTTTGATAGATTTGTATAATTCTTGTTCAAGTTATGATAGACGGATTATGAATATCTACGTATCTAAAATACAATATATTGCACAAAATGTTGGTCATGTTGATGAGGAGAAAGCACAAATATACATAAGGCATGCAAGGTTATATATTGTATTATAATTCTAAGTACTAACATATCATACCATGCTGATCATGTGGTGCGGAAAGATGTTATCTTCCAACGAGACATTTCATTTCAATTGAGACATATCATAAAAGAGAATCTAGCGAGTTGCCTTCATGCATGAAAGTTCATTGTCTCGAGGAGTGCATGCGTGTCGTCTCAATTGATTGAGAAATGAATTTCATTGTAAAATGAATTCATGGGAGATAGAGTGTGGAGATAGAAGCTACCTTAAATGTTTCAATGGAAACAGTTTTGGTTCAAATTACATACAGAAGACATGATTTGTTGATGATAACTTTGACAATATCCAGTGTCACTAACTCACTATCACTAACTTTTGTTATCCAGCTTGTCTTGCCAAGGGAGAAGAATGCCTTTATGGGCAGTGAGATGAATATTATAGTTAAAGATGAATTCAATTGACCAAATCATCTAAGATAAACAAAAAAACTTACATTACTTAGCATTCTTAAATTCAGTTTACATACTCTTTTGAAATAACATTTATTTATTTATTTATAAAGATTTCTTTGTTATCATCTGAAGCAAGATGACACTGAAGATTTATAGTTATCCTCATACATCTTCATGATTCATGACCATAAACATCACCTCACAAATTTTCTTTAGTAAATAAGGAATCCGGAGAAATGAAGATCTGTACTTTAGCGCCACAAAAAAAAAAAAAAAAGAAGAAGAAGCAACGGATGACATAACAATAAACTCGAATGTAGAGAGCAACCGACATAACATAACACGAATGTAGTGGCTAGAGAGTAGTCAGTAGAGAGTAACCGAAGTACCGAACCACTATTAAAAAAAACTACTTCTATATATACATATCTAACAATGCTACTAGATCATTTTCCTTCTTATATATATACCAAGTTATGTTACATAGTACATATATAACCATGCTATTGATTACAACCAAAAGAATTATAAACTTTTTGATCGTATACATTATTTCTTTCGCTGTTTACGTTTAATCACGCTTCTATACATAGATTGATAGTGTTTGATATTATCTTGCACTTGTTATGTTAACATGAAAATTATATGATACGAAAACAGTAAGATACTAGTATATGTTTTGTAACAAAATAAAGCACTAACTAGACATTTTTCGTTGAAAATAAAAAGGCTACATGCATTTGACAATGATCGAGATATCTTACATCAAAAAAGAGGTTGGTTGACCCAAAGGTGGGGAAAAAGAAAATAATTAAGTGGCTGAAATCCTTTTAATGGGGATCAGTGGGAGAAAAGAAAAGAAAAGCTTCAACAGTGAAAATAATATCATTATCTTTTTTTTTTAATTACTTTATACTAAGCATTTTCCCAATAACAGGAGGACAAATCATTGTATTGGAAGTCTCTTTTTACACTTTCACACAAAGCATCGAATAATTTGATACCAATGGTCACATACATTTCATTTTTTAAATACAACAAGCCTTATTTTCTATTTTATAATCTATATACACCAAAAAAAAAAAAATCACTATTCTCTTTTTTTTTACTATGTCCCAAATGGATTCTAGTTAATTTGTTTCTGTTCTAATTGAGTGTTTAAAACTACCCTTGCAAGTAAGTTGTATTAGACGAAGGAAGTTGGTAAATCAAGCAGAGACATAATAATAGAAATATACTATATGGTACATACACACATTATATTTGTTTATTCGAAGAAAAAAGGTGTATAGTAAATTGAATTAATGCTTCTTTTTTTTTTTTTTTTCCATACATAGAATTATATACAATGACTCAATTAGTAGTCATTTCTTAAAACTAAAAATCTGGGAAATATTCGATTTGTTTTCTTTTTTGGTTCTCTTGTTAAAAAATGAGTCTCTCTAGTGAGAAAAGGTTATTTCTAAAAGAATATTCAAGAAAAGTAAGCACCGCAAATTTACCCGATCACATTGAATTTCACCCATTTGTCATGGTTATATATAGTATAACACTAACATTCTTAATTATCTTTGTAATCTTGATTAAAGATAAAGTCAAAATGAACCGGATCTCATTTACGGGATCCAAGCACTTCGTGATATGTGAATTTGGACTTATAAGTTTGACTATTAATATACAAGTTCGATAATTTTTTTTGTAGAATATTTTTTTTTAATACGAAGTCAAATTCATCTAAAGAAACTCATTCAGGGTATAAGATAACCATAAAAAAAAAAAAAAGCAAATCAAGTAAAAAGAAAAAGAACGAGCAGATCAAAATGCCAAAAAGTAACAGATAACTAAAATGTTAGGAAACAAAACTAGTCTTTTTTTTCTTTTTCTTTTTCTTTTGGTTGTTAATACCAAAAAAAAAAAAAATAATAAGTTGTTGTTGTTTAGTTGGCATGTATCTTCATCAATCTTTGAAACTTACTTGTGGGAAGGAACAAAGGATTTTTTTGATCGACCTATAGAAGAATCTTCCTGCCGGTGTGACGGCCTCTGGTAGTGAAAACATTCTGACCTAAGTAGAAGCTACCAAAGGATGAATCCAAAGAGATCGCATGATCCGGAAAAAGAAACCAAAAACTTTGGGGGGTTTTGTTTCTTTTCCCCATCTTTCAATGACAAAGAAGAAGAACAAAAGAACAATTGTTAAGGAATAAATCAGCTTAATCAGGATCAATGCGATCCCTTTGGATCCTTTCTCTAGTTGCTGTGAAGAACTCTCTCTCTCTCTCTCTCTTTCAAGGTGGGAGCAATGGTGTTTTTCTCCAAGGCCATTCATATATAAAAGATGGCCATGTTCCTCTTCTTGTTAAATATATAAATAAATCACACTTTTTTTCTTACAGCAAAATACATCTTTTAAAATTTCCACCTTCTCATCTTTAAACTAATTTTTATATATAATTATTATTATTATTTCCACTTTAAGGGTTTTTACTTTATATTTGACTTGAAAGAGTAAACAAGACGTCTACACTTTAGACGATTTCTTGTGGCCTTTATTGCCTTAACACTTGATTTATATATATACATATGTTACACCGTTATTATTATTAACTTTCACCTTTAAATGAACACATTTTTATATACATATCGTTATGAACCAAATATAATACATTCTGTACAGCATTCATGGGCTTAAGTTATGTGAATTTCAAGAACTTATATTGAAAAGACTTACACAGATCAAAAGACGCTAAAGTATCTTCATTGATATTTGATATCTATATC